CAATATAATTTCTTGATTCCACCGATGTTAGTGAAAAAGGATTCAGGCTTCCAAGATCTGTTATCTCCCCCCCCCCCTTTAGACTGCAGTGAAAAATGCAGATGAGAGAAATCCTACCCAGATTTACATCAGTATGCTTAGATGTTTTCAGCATTTTCTTCCAGCTCAGCTTCCATACTGTTAATTGAGCTGGGCTAGAAGAAGTGATGAAACAATAGCATGCAGTAAGGTGAGTGGGTATGGGAAGGACTGGATCCTTCACCTGCACTTTTTTTAAAAAAAAGCTGTGTGTGTTCAGTGCATCTTCATCATTTGATCTCAAATTTGGTAGCATTTCAGACTGTTTTGTTGCTTTTTAAAAATTTTTTTGAATGTTTCACTGTTATTTCCTGCTTAAAAAACAAAAAGCTTCCAAAAGACTCTCAGCTCCCTCCCCCATTTCAGATGTGAAGAGGTTACAGATGGATTCTGTCTTTCCCCACTGTATGGATTTAAAACTCTTAACACAGACAACAGTCTCTTGAAGTATACAGCATATTACAAAAGCTCTGCTCAAGAGGTTACAGAACTTCAAAGTGTTCCAAGAGGGAAAAGATACGATTCAGGTCTCTGCCAGATTTAAACTTTTACATAATCTCATGTTTGGTTCAGACATAAAGGTTGTTTGTGGGAGGCAGAATTTGATTTTATTTTTTTGTGGTTTTGGGGCAGATGTATAAGAGACCACCTGCAAAGCCCTGCCAACTCTGAAAGCTATCTTGTTCTAACTTGCCCCAAAGGGAGATTTTTCTTCCCTTTGTAAATTCAAAGCAGCCCTGTGCACGAGAATGTGTAGGGCCTTCCAAGAACTCTGGCTGAAAGGAACAGTAAAAGCCTATGGGTATATGGGTGTGGCGTCTTTAATCCTATCTAGCTATTTCCAATTCTGTTTAGCATTTCTACTGTATGTTACAGGAGGGAAAATTTTACATTCAGCAGGAGCCAAAGCCCCCAAAGTGGAATAGTATCTTGTTCTTCCATTTGTACAAAATCCGTGGTAGGGTATGAGCTTTTGTGAGTCATTGCTCACTTCTTCACTATCTGAAGTGAGCAGTGACTCACAAAAGCTCTTATACGACCGCACATTTTGTTAGTCTTTAAGGTACTACTGGACTCTTACTCTGTTCAACTGCTAGACAAACATGGCTACCCATCTTGATCTATTTCCATTTGTACAGAAAGCTTGGCTCTTGTAGAAAAGTAGGTCATGGTTCTTTGTAGCATAATAGCTCTGGTGTTAGTATCAGAGCAACCAAGCTGTGACCAAGAGTGACTTTCCAGCTGACTCATTGATAGGGGTGGAGCAGGTTTTGTGTGGGAAGAAATAGGGTTGGGCTGAAGCTGATTCCTAGTTGTCACTTGGTGGGAAATTTAGGCCTTGGCTATATGACTTCAGTCTGAACAAACCTCCATACAAAATTTAAAAAATTCTTCATATGGAAACTAATGACACAGAGAAAGCTAGGTTAGAATCATTCTCTGCAATATCTACATTTCTATATGGAAGTTTTTAAAAAATTCCTGTGAGCATCTACCTGCAATGTGAAGTGCCTAGACACAACTTTACCACTTTAGAGGAAAACTAGGCCAGAGATTCCAGTCTCTACTAACAGTGATGGTAATTCCAGACTTTGCAGAACGAAAAAGCTTAGGTTGTTTGCTATGCCTTGAACAGAAACCTTAAGAACTTCACACCAGCTAAAGAACTAATTTCATAAAATCAGCTAGGGAGGAGGTAACTAGATTGTGGAGAAGGGAAAATTACCAGTTTATGACCTTTAAAGTGGCTGCAGCTCAGGTTACAAGTGAATTCCTGAGCACTGAATCACAGAAGAGCTCTTTTAGCCCTAGGGGCCCATTCAACATCAATTTCAGTTCTCTCCCAGCTGTCTCACAGAACTACTGTAAACCAGAATGAGAGAGTCCAAGGTGCAACAACATTAGTGGCATATACTTTCATTCCCTCTTTGTCAAATCCTTTGGTGCACTTTTTAAAATGAGTAAGAAGTTAAATGTTAGACTTTCCCCAAAATCATGAATCCTAAAGTTACTGAATTATTGGAGGGGCTCCTTTGCATTCATGACTATTGAGAAGCACTTTATTCCCAATCTTCAGTAATATGCATAATTGTCTAAACAATCTGAAATCAGTTCTTCAGTCTCATGATATGCCTGACTACATTTTGAAATGACAAAAAAAATCATGCTGGAATTATAACCAAAGGTTTATTCTGTTGGCCAGCAATTAATCAAATCAAGTATCATCCAAATGGAACGTATTGGAACATATATGTTCTTTCATGAAAAATTTCTATTGAGGGGACCTTCATAACCTGTGAAAATTTGTGGTGGTATATAATATTATGGGGAGTAATGTAATATTATGTAATTATGTAAAGAGTAGAATATGGGTGAGTAGATAGGATTAATGTATTGTTACCCCTATGAGACCTTGATGTGTTTAAAATATTGGTGATATTCTACATTGTATGTTTGTCTGTCTGTGTTTTTTCTTTTGTCTGTATGTCATTTAAAAATCAATAAATATATTGTTTAAAAAATTGTGCTGGTACACAGCCCCTGTGGGAACCAATTTTTTGACAAAACTGTATTGTGCCAACAAACCCATAATGTTTCCACTGCATGATCCGAGAACTGCAGACAAGCATAAGATGCTCACTTAGGAGATTACCTTTGAGACACCGCAGCTACTAACGTTTTGCAAAGCACTCATATCCAAGCTCCTGCCTGCCAGTACTGTCCAGCTGGCTAGTAGCCCATGTTTATAGAAATGCTATTTTCGTTCATCATAAACAAGTTTACAAGCTCTGTTACTGCAGCTCTAAATATAAACTGCCTGTACTCTCATGCCCCTCCTGAAGCCACACATTGTTATGCAACTCAGTCGTTTAGCCAAACTACCTGGCAGAAATCTGTAGGGGGGGTTAAGCAGGGATGTATTCTTGCCCCCTTGCTTTTCAACCTGTACATAAATTATATAGTTCACAAGCTCTCAGGACCCAAGTTTGTTGCTTCCTTGTTTGGTCATCAGAAGATCTCAATTTTATTATACGCTGATGACATGGTTTTTATTTCTTACTCAAATTGGATTAAAAAGGCTGCTACACCAACTTGGTGAATACTGTAAAGAGGAGGCTCTTAATATAATCTATAACAAGACCAAGGTTATGGTCTTTAGAAAACACCCCGGAAAGTTTGCTTGGAGTATTCATGGAATAGCTATTGAGCAATGCAGCTCTTTTAAATATTTGGGAGTGACCTTTAGTGAGACCTTAAATTGGAAAATACATCTGGATACTGTTAAAGCTTCTACAAAAAAAAAAAGAAGGAGCAATTCTGAGATTTTATCACACCAAAGGTGGATTCCTTGTAGACCCCGCAGTAAAATTATTTACTCACAAGGCAATCCCCCACCTTCTTTATGGTGTAGAGGTCTGGGGCTTGAAGGACTAATCTCCAGCCTGGAATCAATTCAAAACTTATTCATTAAGACGACTTCTTGCCCTGCCCAAGGGGACCCCTGCAGCCCTAATGAGGGCAGAACTTGGTATGCCCTAAGTTAGGGCTCGCATCCACCTTGCTTTACTCAGATCCTGGAATAAAGGTAATACTGCCCTCACCAACATATTTAGCAAACAATGCCTTCAACTAATGTCATGTAGAGACACATCCTGGTCTACATGTTATAAGAACATACTTGCCTACTATTCTATTCCAGACAATTTGTTGGGGGCTCTCAATATTGGTACCAACTTAAGAAACGATCTACAAATGTGACACTTTATTGGACAGGTTTACCATCTCTAGGTCTAAATTCTCCCCTTGGTTTAAGTTATTCAGAAGAGATCATGATAGATCTCCTTACTTAGTGAATATTACATCTCAAAATCTCAGATAGGCACTTCCTTACATTTTCAGACTATGCCAACAGCTCTACTCACGGGGAGATACTCTCAAATACCACTGGCCTTACGTTCTTGTATATGTGGTACTTCAGTTCCAGAGGACATTCTTCACTACACACTATTTTGTCCTATGTATACAGCAGTTAGATCTAAATGTCTTGATAATCTGCTAATAGGGCAAAAAATTTCCTCTGACATTGACAAGCTGGTCTTTCTATTATCTGACACTGATCCGCTCATCAGTTATAAAGTGTCTCTTTTTGCCTTGGCTGCCCAAAAAATCAGGGCTAAGACTGCAACTTCAGAAAATTAACCTTTTTATGACTAACTGGATTTATCATTTAAAAAATTTACTGTTTATAACTGGTCCATATTTATTTGTATGAAAATTCCTTTTAATTGCTGTTTTACCTATATACGATTAGAATTATTTTCTTTTTACTATCCTAATTCTGTACTGTGATGGCCTTTGGCTATATACATAATAAAATTCTGGTACCTGGCAGAGAGACATCCGAAAAGTGATAGCCTAAAAGCCAAACAGGAATAACTACCTAGCTTAAGCAAGGCAACACTTGCTCATCCTTGCCTCCATCCACTCTTGGAAACAGCCACATAACAAGGAACATGATTTAGTTCTGGCTGCACTAGAAGTCTAGTGCACCAATCAAGGTCATACAGGCCTTCTGGGCTGGTTTTTAAGAGCACAAAATTGAGTTATTGGAGATGGGAGTTAAGTTCAGATTTGTATCCAATTCACTGTGTAGTGAAGACACTTGGAATTCTGGCCCTTAGAAGATGCTGTTCTTTCCTGCCACTACCTTGCTGTTTCTTCAGGCCCCTTTGGTTCTTCATTTCCTTAACCTCTGAACATCAACAGTTCTTAATGTAGGAGGCGTAACTGATGGGACCCAGGAAGTGTTTGAACATTCCCCTCTTTCACATCCACTAAGGGTGATAACCCTCTATGTACACATTTTAAAATTTAAAATGATCAAGAATGAAGCACCACGGGAAATTAAAAAATTCAGATGGCCTTTATTTCAGTGATCAAAATTATTTACACCATGAGGGTGAAAAACAGAACCGAAGAAGCCTGTATCCCCCCCATTTCAAAAAATAGAAAATAAACACAAGTGACAAAACCTTGAAGATATAAAGGCAGCATTACAGAGTACCTTGACAGACACCAATTTCGCCAGTTTTGAAACAAAACAGTGTTTCATGAACATTCCCAGCACTTAGGCCAAGAGTTTGCATTAAACACACACTTGGGAAGCATTTATATTAAACTCACACAGGACAACAAGCAGCATTTCACAATAGACCAAGTGGAAGAAATACTGCAATCAGCAAAGGGAGAAAATATGTCTTGGAATTTCACAGAATGACTACTTTTATTTATAAAAAAATGAAATGATGCCAAAACACCACCAATCTCATTCTCTCTGAGTGAGAAATGTCCAATTTGATAATCTCGAGAGGAAAACATTCTGTTTATGTAAAAACAGCAATGCCCACCACTGTTCAATGTATATCTCAACAGCTTCAGGCATCCGGGAAAGTTGCCAGTAAGCCTTTAATATTTGTACTTTAACCCCCCCCCCATACACACAGTCATTCAGGGTTCTACCCACACCTTTTAAAAAAACAAACACAAAGCTAAGGCAGTTCATAAGCAGGAAATCCCCTGCACTCTTGGACCCAGTGTAATGCAAATGCTAGTCATATGAGAGATGAGTCATAACTAGTAAGACCGGTTGGATGTCCCCCCCCCTTCTGTTTCTGCTCTCATCATACACAAACCGGCAAAACTAATCTGGTTTTGAAATCTTCTCTGGCACAAAGAAACAGGCCACTTCATCATCCTTCATTATTAGGTAAGGAAAAAAAAAAAGGGATGGCCCTGAGGAAAAGAATGCTGGGTAGATCTCTCCCCCCCACACACACACCAGATAGGAGCGGGACTGACAAAAGCTGCCTTTCTTCAACAACTCCCAGCAAGACTTTTTAACCCTTCAGGGGAGCTGCCCCAGAATCCTGAACTCCCCCTCCCTTTAATCCCATTCAAGAGAGAATTGGTCGGCGGTGGGGGACCAGAAGAGGCAACAACTTTTTCAAAAGGCAGGATAAGGACGTCATTGTTATTGACTAGCACACACAAAAAGCGTACAGATAGTGGTTGCTTTCCACATGAGTCAACCGTCTGGAATCAGTCGGAATGATCCCACGTATTTCAAAAGTCTCTCTCATTTCCCCGGAGCGTCCCCCTCTCCCAAAGTCAAGTCATTTCAGCTCCTCCTAACGCCGACGCCCGCATTGGCGCGGCCAGTCCCTCAAAGAACACAGCTGCGTCCCGGGCTCGCCGGCCGAGTTGGGGCCTCCTTCGGCAAGCGTCGCTCCCTCTCCCGCAGGCTTTTGCTTTTGCGTCGCCCGCTCCCCCAGCCACCAGAGTGTCTCTCGCCTATCCCCACCGGGCGGGGAAAGGAGGAGGGACCCGCCTGGGCTCCCCCGCCACCCCCCAACCGTCACCAGCCTCCCGCTGCGCGCCTTCCGGACCGCCAAGGCCCCGCCACCGAGGAGCTGGGGGCCGCTGGGCCGGGTGTGGGAGGCGGTGTTCAGCTCCTCTGTCACCCAAGAGGGGCTTCCGCAGGCTCCGCTTCTCTGGAGCGAGAAGTTTCCGGCTACGAGTTCCTGGCGGGGGCGCTCTAGAAGGCCACCACAGCTCTCACCATTATGCTCAGCACGCCGTCCCCTTGCCTGCAGCTGGCCTTGGGCTCCTCGCTGCCTTTAGCCGCCTGCGGCGGGAGGATCAAGCCCGAGAAGCGGTCCTGCAAGACTCGAGCTAAGCTCGGGAAAGGCCCTTCTTGGCGCTGCGGCTGCCGCTCGCCTTCCTCTTCCACCAGCTTCGCCTTCTTGCTGGGCACCAGACCGGCTTCGGCGGCGCCTATTTTGCCCAGGCTGCTGCTGCGGCGCTTGCGGCTCGGCTTGGTGGCGCCCGGCGGAGGCCCTGAGGCGCCCCGGCTCCAGCTAGTCCGAGACTGGGGAGGCGCGGGCGAGCTGCTGGGCTCCTCCTGAGTCTCCATGGGCTCCGGCTCGGGGCTGGCCGAAGGCGAAGGGAGCGGCGGCGTCTCCAAAGGCTGCGGGCTGAGAAGAGACGCCTCCAGCGGTGCCTGCGGAAGTCTCTCCGGTGCTCGGGCCCCCTCCAGATGTGGAGGGCTTGGCGCCTGTAAGTCCAGCTGCGGCTGCCGCCCGGCAAAATCTTCTCCAGGGCCGACCCCAGCTGCCATCTCGTCCTCTTCCTCCAGCTTGGCGGAGAGATAGAGGTCTCGGGCGTTACGCATGACGAGGGATAGCTGCAAGCTGCGATGGAGCCGGAGGCCGCCGCGCTGCATACGCGAGTGGTACATTTTCCACACCGACATGGTCATGATGCGCTGCGCTTCCTTCTGCACTTCCATGTTGGCCTCCGGACTCTTCGGGGTTACTCAGAAGTGGACAGGAAACCTTTGTCCTTTCTCCACGAAGGCGAAAGTGGCGCCCCCCCTTCCTTTTTTGCGCGCGCTGTTGTTAGCAGCCGATCCTCATTAGAACAGCCCTTTCAAGCGTCGTCCGCCCCGAATGAGCGGGGCCGCGCCCAGCGCGCTCCCTTTTATACTGCTGGTGATCTCAGCGCCTGGGCCTCCTCCGCCCACTCTGCGAGCCGCATCCGGCCCTTTGCCGCGCGCCTCTGGCCGCCCTCTCCGAGATGGGGCGGGGTAGACGGAAATGTCAGGCGATGGGGGAGGGGAGGAGGAAAAAGCGAAACCTTCGGCCGCCCAGGGGCACGACGTCCAACGAGGGGGGAAAACCCCCACAAAAACCTAGGCCTCCTTCCACTGAGCTCTGCTCTCTATGTCTGCGGTGCAGATTTGTCCACCAAACAGCACACATCCTAGGAATGCTACGTTAAAAGGAGCGCAGTGCAGAACCTGTGGCTGCGGATTTCTTTCTTCTTTGAATTTTAAATTCTTTGTTAGGAAGCTGCGGATTTCTCGTATCGTTTATTTTAGAGTAAAGCTATTAGTTTGGGCGGGATTTCTCTAGTGGAAAGCCCCCCAGTGGAAGCACATTTATTACATTCCTGTCCAGCTGAAATAAATGTGGCCAACTTATGAAAGCAATTCACAAGTGTATGGACATCCCTTGATGAATAAATTCCAGAATATACTTGCTGACTTGGAAATTGATGTATGAACTGACTTCTTTGAAAAATACCTCACAGCAACATGCAGGTTGTAGCTATGCTTGGCCCACTGATACTTACATGAAAATCATCACTAAATGTTGCAATAACCTTACCTGACCTTAATGAGCTGTGGGGGGCTGTAGGTGCCACACAATAACCACAGGTGCACATTCAGTGTGAAATATGGTAATTTCAACTAGTGCTTAGTGTAACTTGGAGCATTGCTAAAAATACCTACTCTGTATCATTGAGGGCAATACGGTTTCTTTGTACCTGCCACAAAACTTGTAGATCCAGGAATATTAAAATAGAGACAGGCTTTAAGTGCAAACAAAGTTTAGGGGAGATACCACCTCCATGCTGACCAAACTTAGCTTCACTCAGGGTGTAGACCTATTCATTTCCCAACCATTACTGCCTAATTCACACATATGTATGCACCATATGATTGTTCCATGCTTGATTACTGTACTTGCTTCATTAAAAAACAACAGCAATTTGTGAAAGCTGTATCTGTGGGATTACATGTGTGCTGTGACATGCATATGTGAACCAGCAAAACAAAATGGGTGATAGTGCCTTATCACTTAAACGGTTCCTATGATCCAGCCCAATCCTGTCCATGTTCATTTGGAAGTAAGTCTGAGTTTGGTATGATTCACCTAGTGTGCATAAAAACAAAAACCTGTTTTGTACTTCCCACATTACTAATTTAATTAAATCTGTGTTGCTTAGAATGTGCATTTGATTTCAGTGTTCCTTTTCTGCCTTAACATTCACAAGATATACGCTCCAAGCATCATTAGGACTGAAGTCCTGAACATTTTACTTGGAATTAAATGCCACTGATTTCAAGGGAATTTACTTCAAATTCTGTCTGCAACAAAAACACCTTTATTTCAGCTGATCCTGCATTGAGACGGGGTTGCACTAGATGGCCTGCATGGCCCCTTCCAAGTTTTATGATTCTATGATTTGTGTCAGTCGAAGCTAGGGAACGAATGTAGTAGCTTCCTAGTTTTGCTTTGTAGAAATCCCCCTGTTTGGGCTTACTATTGAGGAGGGGGGAGATATCTGGGACAAGAATGAAGTTCCTTGTTTTGACAACTATAAGTATCAGGTGATCCCCACCCCCCGCACATTTGGAAACTCAATTAACAATGCAGCCCTAAACAGAGTTTCTCCATTCTAAGCCCATTGGGCTTAGACTGGTATAACTTTGCATAAGATACTGCTGTAATTCTCAGTCAAAAACGAATCTGGTGTATTTATGCAGATAATTATTAAAACAAATTATAAACATCCTGTATATGTATGACACTGAATGTCATTTCAAATGCTTTAATACTACAAAATAAAATTTAAAATTTACTTACTAATTGGACTGAACCCCAAAACAGATTTATGCTCTGTGATTGAAAGTTGGTGCTTGCAATCTTCATAGTTCTTCTAAAATTGATTAATCTTACTAGCTATCAAAATGCAAAAGGCATTTGAATTAAAAATGATGATGATTGTTGCATTCTTCTTTCTCTTCAAAGAGCTGAGGCAATGTTTTAATTTCCAGCTGCTCACTTCTAAGTCAGGCATACCAATTGTTTCCCAAAGTGTAAGAAAAGGGCAGTTCCACTCCTTCTGGTATGTGACACCATTTTTGTACATGTGCAAGAACTAAGTTTCTCTGTTCAGGGCATGACACTTTGCACTCTCAGTGGCTCCGGACAACACAATAAACAGCAAGTGTGTGCTGGGAATGATGCACTACTGTTCAGATATGCTTTACTACTTCCATTGCCCCACACAAATTCCAAAGACTTTGGTCATGTCATCCCCCCCCCAGCAGCTCCTACACAGGCAAGATGTAGAGGAGAGGATTTCTGTCCTCTACAGCATAGGTACCCAGACTGCTTCTCTTCCATGGCAATGTTGCCATTAAGGTAGAAAAGGGAAAAGGGGTGTCTGTTAGATGGGACTAGCAGTTGATTTGCCCGGGACTGCTGCTGCTTGAAAGTTAAGGGGATAGATTAGGAAGCTACCATTAGCCGCCCTGAGCCCATGAGGGAGGGCGGGGTATAAATATGAAAAATAAATAAATAAAATAAATATAAATTTCCCTTGTAGTACTGAGCAAAACAGAAAGTTTTTAGCCTCTGGGATAAGGATGTGAAACAAAGAACTGGCAACCTAGTACTAAAGTGCTTACTGTACTAAAGTGCACTTTCCTCTGTTTTTTGCTTGATGCAACATTCCACAACTCATGTTAAACTGCAAGTAGTATTCCTAACTCAGGCCTTGCTTTGTATTCAGAAATCAGGGGGAGAAACTGCCTGTTATTGTACTAGTAAACATAAAAGTAGTACAATTAGTACATCTTATAAGTTTAAATTAAATTGCAATGCAACTTCCACCAAAAGGATACCAAATAGGTTGTAACTGCAACCCTGGGTACCTTTATGCGTGAATACCAGCAATTTTAATGAAATCTACTCAGAACCCTGACTCAGGCCAGGCCTAAAAGAAGTTTGAAAACTGACAAGGCCTGATCCTATGCATGCCGACTCGCAATTGTCCTATCCTAGTCTGCTTGTTGGGGTTTACGCTCAAGTGCTGTCTAGGATTACATCATGTCGTCCGCACCCACCTGGCTGTGTGTTTATTTGCACACACCAGTTTACATTTGAAGCACGCACGTTCACGCCCTTAACATAGCCGCAAAGGACCGCATATAAAGGCCGTCTGCCTTGACAAGCCTCGTAGTGATTTGTTACCCGCGGGATGGAAGGGCAGTTCTGCCTTTTCACCAATACACCCAGAGTACAAAGGTAAATAGAGCCGCCCATCGAGCCGACCCTCAAGAAGAAAGAAATACCCTCAACCGCTACCGCTTCTCTCCCCCCCCCCCCCCCCCCGGCTTCTGCCTTTGAAAAGGCTCCGCCCTCTATTAGGTCACCCCAGTCTCCTTGGTGACCGTTTCCCTCCATATATTATTGGGCGATGACGACAGGGGGAGGAGTCGAAGTTGCATTGCATTTACCCGCCGTTCTAAAAATGCTGACGTCGATAGTGGCTTCGCTTCCTGTTTCCATACATGGGCAAAGGTGACGAGCGTTTACTTGAGCTTCCGGGAGCTGGTCCAAGGACTGTCGGCTGCTTTGCAAGTTGATCTGTTTACACGCACTGCGAGGTGAGGTAGCACAATACTTTGTATACAGGCTGCTTACGTGCGACGTAGCCCCCGGCAGAGCAACAAACACATTTCACCCCGCTTGTTTATAGGCGCTGTTTGTGAAACTAGCGGTACAGAGACGCTATGAACTCAGCTACTAAAGGCATCAAGTGAACGCATTCCCTTAGTTCTTTCCACGCAGGTGTTTTCCACCCCCGTCCTCACAAGCTAAATTATTAGAGACATTCAGTTGGCACATCTGGGTGCCGCAAGCTAAGACTCAGGAAAGGCCAAGTAAAGCGAAGAATATAGGAAGCATAAAGTGCATCGTTTATTCCCCTGATATAACTACTGTCACTGTGACTTTTCCCGTACACGTACCTCTAAAGCTGCAGTCAGATGCACACGTACGAATCGGGTAGCAAGACAAACTAAAACCTCCACTAAACTTGCATTGAAATAATAGGGAAAATCCGTTTTTTAAAAGAAAAGAAAACCTACTTTTTTGGAAAAGTGGGAGAGAGGTAGAAAAAAAATGAATGAGAACCCCCAGGAGGATGTGCTGCTATTCTGGGCCGGGGTTTTTTTTTTTGTATGAGTGACGCATTTTCCATTTCCAGGAAGCTGAATGGGGGAGGAGTGGAAAGAAACGAGCTCCCCCCCCCCAACACACCCACCCAAACCAGCAGACATTCCGGGGATTCCCTCTAACCAGCTAAATCCAGGGTGCTTTCCTTCCTCCCCTCGTCTGGCTCCTCCCTTTAGGAAAGGCCGGTTCCACTTTGGAAGACGGGCGGGGAAAGTCCGATCAGATTCGGGAAGAGGCGCCCACAGTAAAAGTGGCCGCCTGGGAGGCTTCAGTGTGGGGCGGGAGAGGAAAGCATGCGACGCTTTCCCCATACGTGTGGCTAGTCCTCTCCGTGCCCGGCTGACCGGACTGGCGCTCTCTTCCTGAAGGCGACTCGGGGAGACTGACTCGATCGGTCAGCGGTGTCTCTGGAGGACCCGTTCTTCGTGGTGAACGGGTGAGTGACAGCCACTCCTCCCACCACAGATCAGCCTTTTGGCTGCTAGTGGGGATGGCAGCTATCGAAAGTAGTCTAACAGTAGCACCGCGTGGGTTTGTGATCGTTGGGAGGTTTGAGTAATCCGGAAATCTCGAGTCACGGGCCGATCGAGAAGCCACCTGGTTTCCCCAAGGGAAGTTGTGTTCAGCTTCAAAGTTCTTCAGAAACTCCTTGGAACAAATTCATAAGGCAGGACTTGACAAATCTGCTTTAGATCAAGAAACTGGCCCCGAAATTTAGGAGCCAAACTTCAGAGTTTTGTATTTTAATGACTGTATTTTCTAATTATTGGTACCACAAAACCTCTTTACAGGTTCTTGTAATTTTAAACTATGACAAGTATTGAAGTATGTGTAGTTGTAACTGTGGTTGGTTGTCATCACCATAACAAAAAGGTAACCTCTAATCGAACTTTCCCCCAATTTCTCATAATTCCAGTGTTGCTCTAAAAATCTCTATTTAAATTAATATTGGAGGCAGTATAGAAAGTAACTGGTGAAGCAATGAATTCATCCATCGCTACTGAATGGTGTAAACTGACATTTACATATAAGCCAGCAATGACAAGTGTCATGACCCCAGGGGGTCGCCACCATCCGCCGCCACCACCCTGGACTTCGGGTCCCCTGAGAAGACCCAGGGTACCCTCCCAAGCCCATCCAAAAATGCCCCCCTTTTAAGCCGAGAACATAGGCGTGATGACCAGGCAGGTAACAATGAAACAAAATGGTTTATTAGCACAGTACCGGGGCAAGGAAAACAAGACAAGGTGCTTTAAAAGATCTAACAGTGTTTAAAAGGCAAAATAAACACAAACCTAATGCGACTACCTAGTTCGCTTAACTGGTTACTCCTTCAAGGCCCACAGCCTGCCAGGCTACATTACCTGTTCTCACTCTGTCCCCAGTGAGGGATCTTTTTCTCTCACCAGACCAGCCTGTCCCCTCTGTGAGACCAGACCGCAGCTGAGAGACGAAAGAACATTGCTTTTCACAGTTAACAGCTTAAGTCATATTCTCCTCACAGACTCTCTGGAAACTGATTGGCTATAACCCTCTATAAGCATTATGGGGATTGTAGGCTGTCTGCTTTCCACTCCCACACTGGTCTCTCCTGGGACCAGACGGGTGGCACAAGCGCACTGAGAACAACCATCCAAAAGGGCTTTGTTTTTCTTTTTCGGGTCGACTGGAGTAGGAGAAGCTTAGTTGGATAGGATGAGGCCTGCAAAGATACGGGACATCCTGAAAATGACCAAACCACAGCTCCAGGAGGGTTACAGCCAATCAGTTTCCAGAGAGTCTTCAGGTATGAATGTGGCTGATCTGCAAACCCTCCTGATAGACCATAACCAGGGTACAGGAGCAGCTGCAGTGGTGCACCCTCTACAGCCAGAAACAAATCTCCAGCTGCAACTAGAACTGCAGCGGATGCGGATAGAGGCCCGCAGACTGGAGCGGGATAAGGAGATGAAGAAAACTGAGATGGAGATGGAAAAGTTCAGTTCAGTCCCAGGAGGAACAACGCAGACTGGAGCAGGAGATGGAGAAGTGGCATCTTCAGGCACAGGAGGAACAACGCAGACACGAGATGGAGATGGCATGCCTTCAGGTGAACCAGAGTAAAAAGATCCAAGGTCACTCTGAAGGAATTTGTTCCCTACAAGGAGGGGGAAGACCCTTCAGTGTGCCTAGCCAACTCTGAAGGCTGCTACCCAGTGGGGTCTGGCAGAAGCAGACCTGATGGCCTATCTCTGCAGCATCCTGACTGGGGAATTGGCAGCAGTATGCCACAGCATGCCTAGCCAGGAAGGAGGGATCACCTTCAAAGACTTCAAGGCAGCGGTGTTCAAACGATTCCAGTTGGGGCCTAACCACTTTTGCAAGCAGTTTAGAGCCTTAAATCCCCAGCAGTGTAAATCCTACATGGAGTTTGGGGCCAAACTGGGAGAAACGTGTGGGAGGTGGTTAACTGAGGCCAAGGTGACTGATATGAAGGGTTTGGCTCAACTGATGCTCCTTGATCAGTTTTACTCCAAGATTCCTAAGGAGTTAAAATGTCTAATCAAGGATAAGGAGTCCAAAACCCTTACTGAAGCCACTGACCTGGCAGACAAGCTGGTAGCCATCAGGGAAGGGATGGAGTGGAAAAGCCCGGTAGGAGATGGAAGGGGTGGAAGACCAAGTCCCCCTCCCCAGAGGAGGGAGCCTCTTACCCCATCTAGGGTTAGGAAATCCTCAGAGACACCAGAGGGAGATAGACCCCCTAGCTGGACCTGCTATACCTGTGGGGAGTCTGGGCATTTCAAAGCCACTTGCCCTAAAGCACAGGCAGAGTTCCCCAAGCCTGTCCCCCTGGCACCAGCTGTCCAAAAGGTGACAGAAGGCACGGTGGCATTAGTGCAGCATGAATGCCTCAGTGTCACAATGAAGCCCCTGGAAGACTGGGCTGGTTTCGTAGAACCGGTGAGGGTAAAAGACCAACTGGTTTTGGGGTACGCTGATATGGGTTCATCCATCTCACTTATAAGGTCTGACCTTATATCTGACGCTGATATTATGCCCAACAGGGTCTTCAACATTGTGGGAGCTTGCGGAGGATCTCAGATGGTACCAGTGGTAAGGGTGCCCCTGGAATGGAGGGGGAAGGAGTGCCTCACAGAGACGGGGTTGAAAAAAGACCAACCTTACCCAGTGTTGCTAGTCAGGGATCTTCTGGCAGGCCGATTTACAGTTAAAGCAGTGACTAGCAGTCAGGTCATCAGGGGTGAAAGCCAGATTACCCAGGTTCTAGAGGCCCAGGGGGCCCAGGAGGGAAATGGGTCGGCTACACCACCGGGGCAGCCTGAACAAGCAGCTGCAAGTGACAGGGAGGGCCTGGTAACCCCAGAGGAGGGGGAACTACTAGACTCCAAACCCAAAAAAGGGTGTGGTGACGATCAGCCCCAGCGGGAGGGCCAGTAGACATCCAGGGAGGGAGCTCTCCTATCCAACTCTCTTGAAACACAGGAGAGGGAAGCAGAACTCACCTGGGACTCCCCAGAGAGTGACCTAGTGGAAACGGTTGGTAGTGACCACTTCACAGGCCACTTGGGAGACCCAGGAGAGTTCAGGGAAGAGACTTATTTGAACTTGTTTTCCCACAAGAACATGAAGCTGAAGGAACGGGTTCTGATACTGGTCAAGCAGTATCCAAAGTTTGACTTTGTTGGGAAGGTACTGGGACCCCAGGACAACACCATTAAGCAGCTGCAGGAAGAAACTGGAGCAAAGATCTCTGTTCTTGGGAAAGGGTCAATGAGAGACAAGGCAAAGGAAGAGGAACTGCGCAAAGGATGTGATCCAAAGTATGCTTACTTAAATAGGGACCTGCGTGTCCTCATTGAAGTCTTTGGACCACCTTGCGAAGCCTATGCTCTAATGGCCCATGCCATGGAGAAGGTCAAGAAGTTCCTTGTTCTGACAAAATTCAGGAAGCACTATTGAATGGTGTAAACTTACATTTACATATAAGCCAGCAATGACAAGTACTTTGTGCATGTTAATTTTGGAATCATACAACAAAACATGCTGATGCAAGATGATAAATAAGCTTGTACTTCCACTGAGAATTGCTGAGGGACACGGCAATAAGTCATTGCTGAAAATACTGGCTGCCATGATGGCGTTTCTAGATGCTATGGTGACCCAGCACCTAGGATTTGTCAAGCCCTGTCATATGGTACAGGGTGTCCCCATGACATCAGAGAAAACAAGGTTACGGAATGTATTCGTCATGTTCTAGGGAGCGCTTTGTTTAAGGTTGTTAAAACACCCATAAAGGACTATTAATATTTGGAGAATATTGTCTGTAAATTTTAAGTTATGGATCCAGTTTGGCTATGCTTTTTGTGAAAGCATAATTGTCCATCAGAACAAATTCAGTAAGTGCTGCTTGCACTTTCCTTTCCAAACTAGGGGTTTTTGTTTGTTTGCCATTACTACTCTGAAAGCAAACTGATTTTATCAGTTTTAACAGTAGAATCATAAGGGGCTGGAATGACCATTCAGAAGCAATGGTTTGCTTTCCAGCTCTGTCTTTTATAGTGAATGTAGGTCAGAGTAGATGATGCTTCGTTGCACTGTGCCCCAGATAGTGTAAGTCTAAGCAGGTCTACTCAAGGGAATTTACTTTCAGAAAAGTGTTTTTAGGATTGCACTGTTAGTGTCCTTGTTTTCCCCTGCTGATCCTGCTGATTGGGGGAGCTCTCCGTATTTTGCCAGACTGCAAAGTAGCAGCACTGTACCTTTCAAAAGGAATTCTGTTCTGTTCCAGCAGATGGGAATGAAGGGATCGATTTTCTGCTAAGTGCCAATGATTTAAAACTCTGTGTTGTCTCCTTTTCTGGACCTCTTATCTGGCTCAAGCATTTTTAACAGTGTGGTCTATGGTTCTTACCTCATTGACTACCACAATAAACTTCCTGTTTTACAGAGTGAGAGCAAACAGTGGAGGCTGAGAAGGTAATTTGTGTCAGAATTAAGATCTCACAGACTCAATACTCTCACCACTAGATTAGACCTAGTTCTGTTTATCGCTTTCACACACACTTAATAATCCACTTTCAATGCACTCTAGTAATAGTTTGCAAATGGATTTTGCCGTCTTACAGTGTAAAATCCAGTTGCAAAGTGGATTGGAAGTGTGGAAGCACCGCGACTTCCGGTCTGCGGCTCAGCGATGGCGGACGCTCTCCCCTGAAGCTGGGGAGGCATTCCGCGCTCCAGGGGTGTTGGAGGAGTGCCACCTCAAGTGGC